CATCACAAACCGAGTCAGGCTAGGGATGCTGAAAGCACTGGAAACGAATCTCATGCTTGAACCATTCTTATGATGATGTCCTGTCTTTTCATTTATTCTCTATGCAGGCTTGTGTTTTCTTTTAATGTTTTATTTTGTTTCTTTCGTTTCCCGTTGTATTTATTTCTATCGAACTTTTGCATATAAACATAATTCATAGGCCATTGTTTTTGAATCCCTATCGGTTCCATCGTGGCTTTGTGGCTTTGAGCAATGAACAAGTGAGGTCGTCGTGGGATGATATGGATCGTTGACTCTCTAGTTGGTTCTTTCTAATTCACATGTTGGTTGTTATTTATTATTCTAAAGCTTTTAATTTCTGATTCTTTTATTAATAGAGCTAATAAGAATTTAATTATTGAATCAAGGATAACCATTGCTTTTTTTGCTTCCACTTTAGTATCATCTTAGTCAAAGGTCCATGCCTTTCAAAACGACAGCCATATATCTTCAATAAAAAGGAAAGAACAAAGGTAAGAGAAAAGCCTGCAAAAGATAGTTGCACAATAGCAGGTTCCCGAATGTTAAGATTAGGTAGAGACGATCTCGAAGAAATATGGAGCCCAGATTGTGTAGATTTAGGATGGATTTATATCAAGGTTTTAATAACCTTCTAGACGAGGTCGAATTGCAGTGTGTTCGTATCCAAAGCATTCTCGAGCTCGTCTTTAAAGCTTGGCATGTTGGGTTCCCAGCCTAGTAGCTTCCTTCCACGAATAGCAACACCTTTGGAATCTACACCCACTATTATTTTCAGTCATTGGGATATCCTTTCGCTTTCCTCTGTAGTCATGTATTCAATACCTGGCGGTGGAATAAAGCCTTTCTTATGCAATATTTCAGCAGCCAACCGCAGCATGTCGCAATTCACATAAAAACCACTTTCTGTCAGGTAATACCCTTTTTCGTTTCAAGTGGCACGTTCAACACCATTCACAGCAGCTTCTGCCAGTAGAACGTAGAGCTTGCTTAAATTC